AGAGAAGGCGAGGTACATTTATCTCTCTCTCTCTTTCTTTCCGTGCCCTGTAGCACTGTGACATTAGATTGATCAGTAATACAGTCAGAAGGGTGTAGTGTGACTCAGGCCTGTGTGTGTCTGTGTGTGTGTGTGTGTGTGTGTGTGCTTTTAGGAATGAACTCTACTTCAAAAAACAAAAGCAAACATGATTGTTTGGCAATGAACATTGTCCTGTAAATTTAAAGGAATAGTTCACACCAAAATGACAATTTGCTGAAAATGTACTCATCCTCAGGTCATCCAAGATGTAGATGAGTTTGTTTCTTCATCTGATTTGGAGAAATGTAGCATTACTTTACTTGTTCACCAATGATCCTCAGCAGTGAATGGGTGCCGTCAGAACCCAAACAGCTGACAAAAACATCACAATAATCCACAACTAATCAAAACCACTCCAGTCCATCAATTAACATCTTGTGAAGCGGAAATCTGTGTGTTTGTAAGAAACAAATCCACTATTAAATACATTTTTAACTTCAAACCATTGCTTAAATCAAGTCTGTTATACATAATATTGATTTGTCACATAAAAAAAAGTTGTCTTGTCTGATTAAGGAGTGAAATATGCACAGATCAAGCATCATTACAAGCAGAAATGGTGGATTTTGATGTGAGAGGAAAACAAGGGACAGATTTATTATGGATTATAATCTATTTTGATCCGAAACGGTGGTTTAAAGTTAAAATGCCTGAATGATGATTTGTTTCTTGCAAAAATGCAGCTTTTCACTTCACAAGACATTAATTGATGGACTGGAGTGGTGTGGATTACTTGTGGATTATTGTGATGTTTTTATCAGCTGTTTGGACTCTCATTCTGGTGGCACCCATTCACTGCAGAGGTGAGAAAGTGATGTAATGCTGAATTTCTCCTAATCTGTTCAGATGACGAAACAAACTCATCTACATCTCGGATAACCTTAGAGTGAATACATTTTAAGTCATTTTTAATTTTGGGGTTAACCTTTCCGTTAAAAGCTTGTTTTGACGTGACGCAATGAGCAAGGTTTTAAACATATGAGGCGTTAAAGCAAACAGACGTTTTATTCGAAGTGCATTACGTTCTGTTCCTGGAACACTTGCTCACTCCTGGAACACTTCCATGTTCTGAAAGTATTTTAAAGCCTCCGCTTTTTCATCTCCTACTATTCTTGAGTCTGTTATTGATCAGCTGAGATGGTTTACTGCGTGTGTCATAACGTGACCCACTATATTACTGGCACACAGCTGTGAGTCTAGGAATTCTGACATTTACCACCGTCATCACCATCATCATCAGCGAGGGGGCGGGGCTTACCAGGTGCCCACAGTGCACATACAGTATATTAGATTAGTGTCAAGGCTTTTTATGTGAAAGAGCCTGTGTCGTGTCGTGTGTGTGTGTGTGTGTGTGCTGGTGTTTGTGGTATATATTAAGAAATGTGTTGGTCAGCAAGGAATTTCTGTCAGGAATCCAGGAAGCACCTGCATCTGTGACTACAGCAAAAAACTCATGTGGGTTCCATTGTGATTTTTTTAAATCCTATAACATACATACATCAGGAAGGTATTTCACACACACACACACACACACACACACACACACACACACACACACACACAGGCTGTGGATAGAGAAGAAAGGGAATGACTCACACAGGGAGAAGCAAATCAGGGGTTTCTAAAATGAGACAAACCCTTACATGGTACAATACCTTACCATGGTATTTTGAAATATACCATATATTTGAATCATTATCATATGTGACCCTGGACCACAAAACTAGTCATAAGGGTCCAATTGAGATTTATACATCATCTGAAAGCTGAAAATCTGGAATGAAAAATAAAAAATTTAATTCAAATTAAATAGAAAAAAAAACTATAATAAACTAATAAAAATGGCAAAAGCACATAACAAATTTACACCAGTATTCTCTATTCCAGTGTTTATCTTTTTTTATTTATTATATGATGCCTTGATTGTATTAAACTATCTTGCAGACTTCCTAAATATATATATATTTTTCTCATAATGCCTTCACAATCCTGTTACGGGGAAGTCATACAGACAAGCACTCACTCTTGTGGGCTACATGCACATGGTAACATACAATTACACACAATCTTCACCTCCCATTCATTTTGCCAATGCTAGGTTGGAGTGTGAGGGCGAGCGGGCCGTGTGTGTCACCCCAACACACTGTGATGTCATCAGCCCAGAGATTACACAGGGCCATATGGGTGACGGCCTGCCACAGTAATCCTCCAACAGCCTGCTCTTCCTGTCACACACAAACACACAGACACACTCACTCTCTCCTCACCACGGGGTGCATTCTGGGAAACGATGGGCCCTTACCAGTGAAAACCATTGCTCATATAAGCTAATAAGACACTATTTTGATTATATTCCACAGTGTACATGTACGGTGAGCAAAAAGAAACGTCTCTTGTGTATTTCCATGGCTGGTGTGGGATGTGACGTATAATCGCATTAGAGGTCCTGGGATTATGAAGAACGGATATAGGACAGGTGGATAGAGAGAAGCGGAAGTTTATTACGCGTTACTTATCATTCCCTAGTGCTGCCAAGACAATGTTATTCATTGTTTTGATGTCTAAATTCAACATAGCATACGTGAATCACGGAGATGTCTATTTGATGTCTGCATTTACATCTGCAAGATGTATTTTTTACAGTGTTTGCTCATCTGCAATACGTCCATAGGACATTTCCTATCAGATGTCAAATAGACGTTTATTAGAAGATGTTTATGATTTAGAACGTATGTAAAACTGACATCTTAAAGACGTCTGTCAGATGTTTGTACACAGCAAATGCTTTCCAGATCAAGCGATCTTTAACAGACATCTTACAGACGTACGTGTGAAATCTGGGTATATTTATCCTATTCTTTCTTTTTGGAATAGAAGTACTAACCCAACGAATAACCCCATATATACCTCTAAATATTTTCTGTTATTTCCAGGAAAAAGGATATGAATGACAAGAAAATAGCACAATATGTGCAGCGCGGTGATGAACTGATGATTTCAATGTTAAAGGGTTCACCCAAAACTGAAAATTCTGTCATTAATTACTACTCACCCTCATGTCGTTCCAAACCCGTAAGACCTTCGTTCCTCTTCAGAACACAAAGATATTTTTGATGAAAACTGAGAGCTCTCTGACCCTGCATAGACAGCAACGCCACTGAAATGTTCCCAAGTCCAGAAACATACACTCTAAAAAAATGCTGGGTTAAAAACAACCCAACTTGGGTTATTTGGCAACCCAGCACTGGGTAAATATTGGGCAGAACACATGCTGGGTTATTTTGATCCAGCTGGTTGGGTTAATGTTTTTACCCAACATGCTTGGTTGTTTTATTTAAGTCGACTATTGTTTAAAAATGGCCTGTGTGTTCCTGAAATGGGCTGCTGTTCGCGAGAGTACTGTGAACTTTAGACCGCGGCCTCGCGTTTCACTCGTAGCTGAAAGATGCCGTGACTGACTCTAAAACCTGCCCATAAACAAACAGTACTTAGATTAGAGAACATATTTTAATATCAAATTAAAATAAACTCTGTATTATAACGAATAAAATCCATTTATGTTATGCAAGGCAAAAGGCGTTTCCATCATGCGAAGTGACCGACATCTCGTCCTTATGTTGTATTGCATAAAATAATGCAATTTATAGTACAGTAAAGACTTATAAATGAAATAAAATATATGCAAACCTTTATTTTGCTGAAGAAGTGCACCTAATTGGCGGCACTGAGAACCCCTCTCTCCAGTAGAGGACCCAAAAAACCCATGATCTGATTAAAGGGGTACTCCACCCACATCACTTACCCCCATGTCGTTCCAAACCCGTGAAAGCTTAGTTCGTCTTCGGAACACAATTTAAGATATTTTGGATGAAACCTGGGAGGCTTGTGACTGTCCCATTGACTGCCAAGTAAATAACACTGTCAAGACCCAGAAGAGCATGAGAGATTTCGTCAAAAATATCTTAAATTGGGTTCCGAAGATGGAAAATTTTCATTTTGGGGTGGAGTAACCCTTTAACTCAGCAGCTGGGTTTTGTGGAGACAGGCTCAACCCAGCCATTGGGTAGAAAAAATAACCCAGCATTAAATATAACCCAGCAACTTACGGAAAAACGACCCAGGACCTGGACAAAAAATATTTTAAAAACCCCAATAAAACGGCCCAACAAGCTGAACCCAGCATTTGGGTTAAAAAAACAGCATTTTTAGAGTGCATAGACTGACATTGCGCTTTCCTCAGAAGGTAAACAAGGCTGATTACATTGATTACTTTCCGGGGAAAGCCTGCACACATATGTAACTCTGGGAGAAGACATGTTGAATAAATTATGTTATTTTTGTTTTCTTTAGGCACAGAAAGTATTCTGGTAGCTTTGCAACCTTGAAAAGCTTGACCACTGATGTCACATGGACTGTTTTATCGACATCCTTGCTATGTTTCTGGGGCTGAGAACATTTCAGTTGGTTGCCGTCTATGCAGATTTCATTTCATTTGTGTTCTGAAAATGAACGAAGGTCTCACTGCTATATATATATATAGTGAAATAGCTTTAGTATTTAGTTTGATGGAGCAGATCAGGGCTTTGTCTGGTTTTCAAGAGAAACATTTTCTTTGTGCGTCAAAGGACGGATGAGTCAGAGAGAGAAGTATGAGAACCAGCACAGTATATTTATAGCCATATATCATATTTTTACTCCTTTCAGTGATAATATTGCATTCAAATATACAGAGATTTTTAAATTAAGTTATTCAGTTTGTTCAAATGACATGTTGAGTTTAACTAGGAGATTTTGATGACTGAAAGTCAATCTCTTGAGCTCATGCACACTCTCCCTCTGTTGGTGGGAATGTTTTTCTTGACTCTCGCACTCGGATCAGCTCTGAACTGCAGCACGTGAAGCTCTTGATAAGGTGAACGACTCAACAATCCTTGACGACTCATAATAACGGCGCGTTTCTCATTCCAGGAGGCTACGAGAACTTCCATTCCCATTACCCCGAGCTTTGCACTGAAACCAAGTCTGTGGATCTGAGCGAAGACAAAAGTGAAAGAGGCGTCAGCAGTCACTGTGACAAACTGGGTTCTCGCCACAAACCAGACTATGATCAGGTAAGAGAGAAGAAAGCGAGCTGTTGTTTCCTCATTTCAACCCACTTCCATCGAAACCACTTCCTCTTAACTGTAGGAGTCGAAATAAATATATAATATATATATAACCCAACCATCCATCTATCTAAACCAAAGAGCCCCCTGGCCCTTACAAGCCTTCAAAGAAATCCAACGGACATCTGAGGTCCTTTTATGTCTGACTTTGGTCTGGTGTTCAGTTTTTATGATAAGGTCAAACGGTGCACCTGTTTGTCTTCGGGTGGTGAATCAGTCTTGAGAGTTTCAGTTTTGAGATCTGTTTATTGTTGTTATTTTTCAGGGACGGCCGGTGGAGATCTTGCCTTTCCTATACCTGGGCAGTGCTTATCACGCCTGCAGACAGGACTATCTCAGTGACCTCCGCATTACAGCGCTGCTGAACGTCTCACGCAGGGACTCGCGGCCCGCCAAAGGACTGTATGACTACAAATGGATCCCGGTGGAGGACAGTCACACAGCAGATATCAGCTCACACTTCCAGGAGGCCATAGATTTTATTGGTAAATATTGTACAAATACTATAGTTTTGTGTGTGTGTATATATATATTTATATTTTATATATACATTTATTTTTTTAATTATTTAATTTTTTATTTACAATTTAAAGTAGTTATCATTTTTAATTAAAGCCGTTTTTAATTATTAAATGTTTTTATTGATTTAAAACAGGCATTTTTGTATTTAAAGACATTTTTATTTATTATTTACTTACTTTTTTAAAAAGAAGGTTTAACCGTCAACATCTTTAGTGTTATGTAAACTTCATCTGTATGGCTAAAACCATTCCCAGAACTGAGCACAGACCTATAGATAGTGGAGCTAATTTCAGGCCGTTTAAAAATAAGACTTCCTCTGCTTTACTAACACATAATCCGAATGGACTGCACCTTTAATTACACCTACAAATCCCATGTTACTTGTACTCTGGGAAGCGCAATTAATACCAACTCTTACTGAAAATAAAAAATGAGATGAAGCATATAGATAAAGAGAGATAAATGGACATGCGCTGTGACTCAGGGGTTAGACTAATCCAGGATCTTGCGGATCACAGGCGTGGCCAGTGTGTCAGTGGATGAGTCGATGATTAGTGATGTTAGGTGTGTGTTTGTGTGCTATGACTGGACTGTCATGTGTTTTGTAGGTTCTTTATCAGGTGAATTTGTTTACACAATAATTCGACAGCGTTTAAAGCTGTTTATGGGTGATTTGCAAAAAGCTTGTCAAAAACAGGTCCAGGTTTAGGCCATATTTCACCCCTTAAAAAAATAATCAAATTGAAACTGAAACCTTAACCTTAAAGGTGACATATTATGCCCCTTTTTACAATATGTAATATGAGTCTCTGGTGTCCCCAGAATGTGTCTGTGAAATTTCAGCTCAAAATACTCCACAGATCATTTATTACATCATTTTGAAAATGCCTATTTTGAGTGGAAGCAGAAACACGCTGTTTTTTTGGGCCTGTCTCTTTAAATGCAAATGAGCTGCTACTCGCCGCCCCCTTTTCCAGAATAGAGCTGCGCCATTACAGCTTGTATCTGCTAAAAACATCTGTTTTGGTTCTGATTATCATGTTTATCACACTGAAATCATGCGTTTTAAACCGAGTTTAAACTTCAGATATAAGGTTTTCTGAGCGCACACTCACAGAAAGCGGCTGTCACAGCATGCGAGTACTAAACTAAGTTCTCATTTACACACAAGTTTACGTAAAAAACACACGAGTTACAAAAACAGTCGGTGATGTCTGTGAAGGTAAACAGCTGGGAAATAAATCGCATGTTTATTTTAGATCTGTGTGGCAGCAGCAATATACATTGAATAAATCAATAAATCCACTGCTGTCTTGTCTCCTCTGAGGCTGGGACTGTAAATAGTGTTCTGTGCTCATCTGTGCAGCCAATGACAGAACAATTAGCTAACTTTCGCCATGGCATTAGAACTAATACACCGGTGTCGCTTGCGAAAACACAATAATGGCCGCCGTGGGTGTAAACGTACAGATTAAGGGGCGGTGATATTATAATGAGATCCCTTTGCCACGTCACCAAGGGAGCAAAATCAGACACGCTCGTTTTCTCAGACGCTTGCAGAAAAAGGCTTCCCAAAACAAAGGGATCGGGTTAATCTTTTTCAAGTTTCCTTGGTTGGTAGATGCACCGGGGATCTGATTATAGCACTTAAAACCTGGAAAAGTCAGATTTTCATGATATGTCACCTTTAAGAGTGTAGACGTTGTTTACATAGACTTCACATGTGACCAAAACTCCCTGTTTGACCTGTATTCTGGTGAGGCTTTAACCATGTCATCCTGTCTGTCATTCAAGGACTTGCGTATCCCACATTTCATTCAATTATACCCAAGTTTCATTTACATTTACCTCAATATAGACGATATTACCTAAGAGACCGTGAGGTAATTTGGTCTCCCGCAGGAAAGCGATAGCAGTGAAAGAATAGTCCATCGAAAGCTTCGGCTAATGAGTGTGTGGTAATATTTAGGCGCATTAGTGAGTGTGATAGTCATTATGACGCCCACAGCTCGGCCCCGCTCCGCTCCAGATGGGCTTCAGGCGTGATTCACACCAGCAGGTTTTGTTTTAAAGAGACCAGCAGCAAGGGATCTCGCATGAGACCGTTCAGAGATATGAGGCTGGAATCTGCTTAGCTGTATTGAATTAGACAGGAATACGCAATCGGAGCTTTCTCTAATGGTGTGAGTTTATGGATTTGTGCGACAGAACTTTCTGGGGTGGAAATGAAATTGATATGACATTATGATAAAAAAGGGTCAGGGAGGAAATGAATTAGCCGAGCGATAACGGACAGAGGATATCAGAAGAACTGTGCAAAATAACCATGATTACGTTTCACTTGTTCCCTCGCACAACTCTGTAACTCAAACCATTTCATGGCATTTATACACATTGTAATGTTATGCAAACATATTTCATATACCAAAATGAATGTGCTCAAACTATAAGTTATTCGTACACTGTAAAAATGATTTTTGAGTTGTAAATAAAACAAAGTTTATTAAGTACATTTAAAAAGAAGAACATTTCAGTCTTTCTTTTTCCAAAATTTCACATACAATTCAATATGTTGCTTGACGTTTCTGTGTAATTATTGGTGAAGTTTACAAGCAATTTCTGTGAAATCATAAATCCGACATCATTTTTTTTTTTCAGTGTAGGATAATTTCCCTTAAAAGTCTAAACTTTGTCTCTGTGGTGTTTCCAAAACATTGCTTTGTTTCTTTGAATATTTGACCAGTCCAGCATAGCAACACTGGCTCAACCAATGGTGTGAATTTGGGGCGGGGCTATATGTTTGGCTGACCAACACCAGATGAGGGGCGTGTTTGGGGAAACTTGTTTGAAAACAGTCATTATTATTTTGTCTGGTGCCGCTACTTCACCTTTTATTATCTTTCTTTTTTCTCTCTCTCTTTCTTTCTTTCTTTCTTTCCATATGCCTAAATGTGCACCGGGCTCTTCTGTTGTTTTTAAATGCGCTTTATAAATAAAGTCTGGCTTGAAGTTTGACTTAAAAGACAGTCTGTGTTTTTGGTGACTCATGCTGTTATTTCGAGAGCTTTTGTAATGAATTCATGTACTTTTCTCTCCACAGAACGTGTGAAAGCAGAGGGAGGTAAAGTGCTGGTCCACTGCGAGGCTGGAATCTCTCGTTCTCCCACCATCTGCATGGCGTACATCATGAAAACCCAACGGTTGCGCTTGGAGCAGGCCTTTGACGTTATCCGACAGCGGCGTGCCATCGTCTCGCCCAATTTTAGCTTCATGGGTCAACTACTGCAGTTCGAGTCGGAGGTGGTTTCTTCCACGCCTCCGTCCGTCACTCCTGCCGCCCAAGAGACGCCCACCTTCTTTAGTGGTGACTTCACGCTCGAAACCGAGAACTTCGAGTCCTCGGTTTTCACCTTCCCTACCTCCTTTCTGACACCAATGCCCATCCAGTCCTCGGTTCACCAGTTCAAACTGAGTCCAATAACTGCGCTGCCTTAAAATGGCTGCCTGACTCATCGCAGTCTCAGTGTACTTGAAAAATAATGGATGGGCAAACTGAAAAAAAGCAATGGACTATCACAGGGAATAAAAATGCTTATGTTTTCATATTTTTTTAAAAATCATGGTAGACAGTGTTTGCTTTTTTATTTTGTTTGCCTTAGAGAAAACCACTGCACAATGATTACACTGCAATACCTGCCTTAGCTCGATGATGTTCTGCCAATCAACAGCGCCTAGCTGGGCAAATTAAATTATTATTATTTTTTAAACAGTTTCTTTTTTTATGAATTGTGGATCTGTTAATAAACGTTTTTACACAAGTGTAAAATTTGTTCATAGTGTCACTTTATTATCAGTGTGTGCTCTTTTTAACATATTTGACCATTTTCAAACAAATTCTGCAGATATTCCTCTAAAAACAGAGAGAAAATATACTTCAACAATAATTACCAAAAAACACACTTATGTCAATAAAGGAACATGTCATTGTTATTATATAGTGACAGACTATAAATGTTTGCCCTCACGAAACATCATAAGGACTTTAGGCTAGTAAAAAGATACAACAGTGACCTCTGCTGTGACAAACACTGCAGAAGTATATATACTACAGTATACTTTTGAGTGGAACATAAGTAAGCCTTTAAATTTATTTTGGCGCCCATTTGGGATGCACACAGAAAGTAGAGACACATCGAGAGCTTTGGTGCGCAAAACATGTTGAAAGTGCATTATGAACATATTCATCAACAAAATGATTAGCAATAATAAAAACTTTTGTGATGCAATATTAAAATAACATAGCAAAATACCCATTCTTTGGGGAAAAAAGAGTGTGTGTTGGACTTCATTAATGTTCTGCATGCAGGCACACAAACAGCAATTGCTATTCACAGAATCTGACTGAATCCATAAGTAATCAGTTTGTGTTTTGTTTTGCATATATTACAGTTTTTCTGAATAGCTAAAAACACATTTCTTGAAACCATCACTCATTTTCTCAAAACCTTAAACACAAATCCAAATACTCAAACTAAAGTCACGAAACCTCTGACTCTTCCATCAAAATCAAACAATCACTGCAAAACCATTTCACTTGGTTTTGCAATTCTGTAAAAAAGTATAGTAATTGCAACCGAGTAAGGTGAATATATTGTATAGGCCAACTGTATGTACCGCAAGAATAGTATTGTGCTGCATATTGAATAGCACTGAATGTTTGTATATATTGAGCACTTGGATGCTGCAAAAATACTGCAGTCCAACTGCAAAGGCCAAAAAGGTCCAATAAAACTCTAAATGAATAGCATGTTACATTACACTCAAATACTGGAAGTTGTGCAACTGTAAAATGAGGGTCAATGAGAGTCTCAGCATCATGTCTTTGTGCTTGAGTCCTGCCTGAGGACTTTGTCCACATCACAAGTAATGTTGTTTTTTTGCTAGACAAAGAGAAAAAACCCTCTGATCTGACAGATCCAGCCTTGATAGCAATTCAGAAAAACTGTAAACTCTTAAAAATAAAGGTGCTTCACGATGCCATAGAAGAACCTTTTGGTCTGAATGGTTCCATAAAGAACCTTTAACATCTAAAGAACCTTTCTGTTGCACAAAAGGTTCTCTGGGGCGAAAGAAGATTCTTCAGATTACAAAAAGGTAAGAAAGAGATTGTTCTTTAAAGAACCTTTGACTGAATGGTTCTTTGTGGAACCAAAAATGGTTCTTCTATGGCATTGCTTGAAGAACCTTTTGAAGAACCTTTATTTTTAAGAGTGTATGTGAATGCGAATGTGTTTAGAGTTTTGCAAAAAGAGTGCATGAGATTTGCAAATAGAGCCTAACTGCCTGAACGTGTTTAAGGTTTAGCAGAAATAGTGCTTTATTCGACAAATTGGCTTAAGCTAGTGAGAATTTGGTTCAGAGATTGGGGTTTAGTGTTTTGGCAATTCAGAAAAACTGTAATTACCACTTGGATATGAATTTATTTCCCTCCTTCAGGTTTGTGATAATTCTAAAATAATGATCACCATTTTATAATTTATGGACATAATCCCTCTAGTAACCAATGTTTGGTGTAATGCATTACCAATTTACGTGCAAGCAAAGCAAGGGATTACTTAAAAATTTTGTCATTTACAGTTTCTCAACTGCGTACACACATTTTCACCTATTTTTCTCAACTTACACAAATCCAAGAATTGCACACACAAAATGCAAAATACCTCATAACTCTTGCAAAATGACACACTGCATTCAAAAGATCACAAACACATCTCAAAAGAAAAAATCGGTCTTACGTTGCAAACACTTTCGCCATAATATATTTCTGGATAGGTCATACACAGTAACTCAACCTAAAGCTCTTCTTTCATGAGCTCCTATGGACATTTCTGTACAAGATTGAAAGTAATGGTCAGAGAGATTTTGAAAAGTCACAGTAAACACGAAAGCAAGACTGAAACCAAACTATTTATTTTTTACTGTAAGCATTTGTGGTTGTGAATACAGTACTAGAGAAAAGAAAATACAACAATGTGTAGTTGGACAGAATCCAAACATAATTTTGAAAAAAGATGATTATTCCAAAGGAATTGTGTGTGTGTGTGTGAGTGAGAGAGTGAGCGCGTGTGTGTGTGTGTGTGTGTGTGTGTGTGTGTGTGTGTGTGTGTCTAGTCTCAAGCCCTCCTCCGGGCTGGGTCCGGCCACAATACTTCATCCACGTCACATGGTCACATGGCGTCTGGACCAATCAAACACACAATATATATTTTGTTAGCTATATTTAATACTCTGTAACCCCCCTCAGTTAACAAGCCATATGAGGACCTATGGACCCTTCCCCCGAAATGCATAACACCCCAGGAAAGCCGAACAGGCCCCTGGTCCCCATGGCAACTAATGCTGATACCACTGGTTTTATGACCCAGAGGAATGTGAGCAAAGAGACTCTCACTGCATTTTCCATAGGAAGAGACACACTGCACAGTAGAAATGGACTTTTCTACTAATTAATTCGTAGGAAAACCTTTCTTTGAATGAACACACATATTCTTCAGGTCATTGTGTATGTTGTCTTTGATATTTTTAGACTATTTTATGCATGCTTATGATGGAACCACTCATTCCTGTCATCTTGCCTATATGTAATCTTACCATGTTTAGTATCTATGAATTTGCCTTCTGATGATCTAAACGAGCGTGTATATTATATGTTGGTACATAGGCAATATATTAGTGTCCTGAGAATCTTTAGTAATTTCGATTCAAGTTCCATATGCAAAGTACCATGCTTCCACACAAAGGGTCATAAAAACTCCCCAGTATCTCCAAACTCCCACTTGGGATTCCGGCCTTTCTCATTGGACAAGCCCATCTTGAGAGGCGTGAATCTTCTCCGACCTTAAAGGCCTCACACCAGTGACCCGCCCCTAGTCGATGGTTCTGTTAGGTTCTGAGAAAATGTGAGCTCCAACGCTCCAGGACACCCTAAGTTGTGCCAGGCTTCGGCCTTGACTTTTCCATTCACCAAGATTCTCTGACTCAAACTGGTTCTTTTTCATTAACCAACTTCTGCAAAGATCAATTTGAACCTTCAGACTGCATCAAGCCTCTCTTTCAGACAGACGAGACATGCAAGTATTCAAACTTAGGTTTTATTAATTGATACATTAAGTATCATAACGCACCTTTTTACAAAGGTGCGTTTGAACTAAGAATCTGATGTTTCCTTGAGGCAGTAGATCTACTGAATAAATTCTTATTTTCTCTCTTAAAATTCTTATTTTCTCTCCTCTTTACTGCTTAAACTTTAACCCTTTCCTATACCAACTGTATGCGTGTGTGTATGTTAGACCAGTTTAAGTGTTTATGTAGTATGTTAGACTAGTTTAAGTGTTTATGTAGTTAATAAAATCTTACTTGTATCACACTTGACGTTGTTCATTGTTTGCTCATAACTGGAGTCACTTAATCATGCAGATTTATGCTACAAGCTCTGTGTAGAATTGTACATTAAGTTATTTCCCTTAACCAGGAAATTAACGTTCTTAGAATTGACAGACAGTTAACCCTGAGAGGTCAAGTAAATATCTACAGCGAATCTAAATATTTATAATTAATTATAACTAGTTATGATTAATTATTCATATTTCCCCATGAGCTGTTTCGCTAAAGTGTTATAGTGGCCATGTCTGGCATGATGGTGCAGGACACCATTCTGTGTAATTGCAGCACACATTGTAATGTTTCCGCCACGTTGTCCAGGGACATTGACAATGGCCCTTTGTCCAATGACATTTCTCCCCCTTCTTCTGGTTTTGCGGAGATTGAAGTCCACCTCATCCACATAAATGTATTCATGGATGATAGCATGGGCATCAATCTCCAAAATTCTCTGTAAAAAGACAATAACATGTAGATCAGTATATGCACAACACAGCAGCTTGACTTGGTAGGCGCAAGTCTGATATATTGGAGAAAGTGTTATATGCATACCTCCACAAAGTCATGTCGAAGGTTCTTGATTGTCACAGTTCCTTTCAAATGGGACCTTATACAGCCGTTTTATTCTCAGTTGATTTCTCTGTAGGACACGATGTATTGTTGAGGGGCTCACAGCATTTATGTTAGCAAATATTGTGGCATCATTAAGGATATGATTCCATATTTCACGAATTCTTATAGCATTATTGGCCATTCACGATAGCCGTCTCTTACTCTTCAGTGAACTTGTGACCTCGCCCACCATGAAACCTTCGCCTTGCTACGCTGTAGAAGATTCAAGAAGTGCGAGTGTGTGCCATAAACTGTAACATAATACATACGATTTTATACAATATAGTCAGAAAGTCTTCTTACATTGAGCTGTACAGTATGATAACCCACCAGACTGTGACCAATTGTGCAGTGCACTACAGTAAATGGATTCATGGGTGCTAAAATATGTATTATAGTATACCGCATGTTATGCTGAAATAGCTATTATGTGTACATTACAACATCTACATTACAGTAAATTACATACCTGTTATCATTTCTAAAGGTTCAAATAATACCCACCACTGTAAATCGATGGACTCTCTGTCCAGCCACTCTCATTGTTAGACCATGGT